GACGACCGTGCATTAAAACTTTACAGGGTTCTGGCTAATACAAATATTTGAAAATTCAGATTTAAGTATTATTAATTGCGTTCTCTTCGACTAAAATATTTTCAGATTTCTAGCACTTCCGGTTATACCGGAAGTCGCCACCTACTTTATTTTTTTAAAACAAACACCTGTATATTTTTACATATTTGGATTTGTCTGTTTTCAAGGTTTATGAATAACTTTACTTTTTGCAATTTGATTCGGCCGTTCTCGAGTTATTCGAATTTTCCCAAACTATAAATGTTAGGTATAGGACATATGGGATATAAAAGATGTAAAATGAGACACCGAAGACGACTAAGTAATAAAATGTGGGGGGTGCTATTTAAAAAAATTAAGTTATGGTATTTCCAAATTTCGAAAAGGTAACGTGCCATAGTAAAGTGACCAAACGTTCTAGACAGCCATTGATATCCCAAAAATCAAGTGTTCTCTGATTTTTTGTCTACTAGAGCAGATTTTTCTAGAAAAATTCGAATAACTCGAGAACGGAAGAATCAAATTGCAAAAAGTAAATTCATTCATAAACTTTGAAAACAGACAAATCCAAATATGTAAAAATATACAGTATGTTCCATTTAAAAAAATAAAGTAGGTGGCGACTTCCGGTATAACCGGAAGTGTTAGATATCTGAAAATATTTTAGTCGAAGAGAACGTAATTGATAATACTTAAATCTGAATTTTCAAATTTTTATTTTAGCCAGAACCCTGTAAAGTTCTAATGGACAGTCGTCGTCGTGGATGACCCTGTATAAAATACCTCTTCTCAGTAGTAAATTGTTCATTCCATCGATAATTTTGCAGTTAGTGACACGTGCTATCGTTAGAATAGAATTTACAATGTAAGATTGCGCTAAGATGATACTAATTCTTGATAATGAGCATTAAAAGCTCGAAACGTCGAGGAAATAACTTTACTACTGAGAAGAGGTGTTTTGTATATATATATGATTGAAAAATTTAGATCTCGGTAAAACAAAAATTTCTATATTAAAAGAATTTAATTTGATACAAAATTCTATTATGTTATTGCTTTGCTATGGACATTCCAGTATTCGTTACAGTGGTTACAATTAGTTGGGAATATATTTAAATTCGTCCTAATAGCTCCGTATATCTTCTAGAAATAAATAAACGAAAATATTTGTTAAACTTTAAAAAATCACATCGACTTTATGTTTAAAGATATTTAATTATAGCAATAAATGAATGAAAACATTTGTTAAATTAAAAAAGATCATATTTATAGGAACTAAGAAACAACTTTTGTGTTAAATTATAATAGAAATTATTCAAACTGATCCTTTATATTCAAAACCTGAATTAACTTTAATAATATTACTCATTATTACAAATTTATTTTTTTAAAATACAATATTTTATTGGCTTTTTCAAATAAAAACAAGATACTTAATATGTTTCTCTATTTACCATTATAATGCTAATAATAAAATGAAAGAAAGTTGTGTGTATTTCAGTCAGTTGATCGGAGTGTAAATGTGTCTATATTGACCTAACTGGCAGAAAACTGGAGACACGCATCCACAAGCACAGGACTAAATCCAATTCTAACGTCTTTAAACATGCCAACGAAAAACAGGTCATTAAATTGATTTTGAAAATATTTCCGTTTTACATAAATGAGATAAAAAATTTAAACTAGACCTTTTAGAAATTAATAAACATAAAATTTGTAATGATAATATTTTACTTAATAATCTAGTTCAACTTCAATACAAATTTTTGTTCATGTTTTTAAAACATTTGAATTCATGAATTTTATTAAAAATATTTCTCGTGCTCGTGAACGGCGAGATCTTGACCTTGTCCTCTAACCACAAAATCTTTTCCTTTATACCGGTCTCCTTAGAACTGTCTTCTTTTCGTCGTCATTGTTCAATAAGATTTTCATTTTGTAAGTGAACAAATGAATTAAAATTTCTTTTATTGCCTTTTTATATTTAACTATAAATCTATTTTTAGATATACAATGTAAATTTATCGACATCACGTGATATTCTAAGGTTTCAATGACTGTAAGTTTTTTAACATTTTAACATGTTTATTTTGTCTATTTCAAATTAAATTATAGATTCCGACTGAGGATAGGGATGATTACCCCGAAACTAGTTTATGATTAAATATAAAATATTTAGCAAGTATGGAAGTTTTTTTAGACATTTTTATTTCATATATTTCACTTGCAACACGGACAAATTCAAATTTAATTAAAAATAGTTAAAAATCGCTGAGATGGGTCTAAAGATTTAAATTGTACAGATTTAAACACAAAATTGCAGACAAAATTTGGGATTCAATAAAAACCTCTTCAAACTCTTCATGTGACTTCTATAACATTACAGATGTAAATCAATCGATTAAAAATTCTTCGAATTCTGTCAATCACGATAGTTTGAAAGCTTTTTCTGACTTCACATTAACTTGCTCAGTACTGTCAGCCAAAAACAACTGTAGTTGGAAAATTAAATATCGGTGATTCATAACCAACTTAATAATTACAAACTTCAACTATCTTGTTCGCATTGTAATTGTCATAATCATAACTAGCTCGTTTTAGACAACATTCTCATTCTTCCACGGTGTGTTCATATCACCAACGATTCAGACTTTTAGGCTTTTAACTCCAGTAAGCAAAGATCCAAATCACCATCTACTTCTAATCCAAAAAACGAATAACTGTTTCAATGAAAAATGATAAACGCAAATCTATTTGTTAGATTTGTTCCCGTTTTTTCATTTTTGATAAACAAAACCGATAAATTTTTTTAATTGTCACGGGTGCAGATATTTCTGTTTTACCTCACTAAATTTTTCTTGATCGACAAAAAAGATTTAGATCTCTTTGCGCTGCAAATGGATCTACTATTAATACTTATGGTAAAAAGATTTTGACAGTAACATTAAATAAAAGAAGAAGACGTCTGGATTCAATAAAATTTGCAATTGCCAAAAAAGAATTTGATTTAATGGGTTCCCTTGGTATTTGTTGCCCTTCATCTTCTTTCAATGCTTTTCCATTACACATGGTTCCTAAAAAGGATTCTAGTGATTGGATTCTTGCGGAGACTACCGCCAATTAAACTTGATTACTGTTCCAGTCATTACCCACTGCCACTCACAATCAAGATTTCAATCTTAACCTACATCATGGTTGTAACATTTTTTCTTAAATTGAGTTAGTATTTATAAAACTACTATACAACACCTTGTGGTCTTTACGAATTTACCAGAATGCCTTTCGGACTCAGAAACGCAGCACAAACATTGCAACGAGATTCATTAATGAAGTCACTAGTGGTTTAAATTTTGTATTCGTTTATTTAGATGACATTCTTATAGTTAATAAAAATCAGGACAAACATCATTCCCATTTACATCAACTTTTCGAAAGATAAATAGTTTTGGCATGAATATAAAAGCTTCAAAATATGTTTTTGGGGTTCCATTGATTTGCTTAGTCATACCATTTTATCAAATGGAATTCGTCCTTCATCCAATAGGATTCATGCCAGTAATGATTTTCCAAACCAGAAAACCTTTAAGGTATTGCAAAGATTTTTAGGTATGATTAATTTCTATCATCGTTTCGTCCCAAAATGTTCAGCGATTCTTAGTTCTTTGTATACTCTTTCTAATTCTTTCAAAAATAATAACAAAAATCACATCACTGCTTGGTTAGATGAACATGAACATTCATTTAATACTGCTAAAACTTTTTTAGGTCAATCAATTGTTCTTGCGCATCCTTCTCGTACAGCCAAGTTGTCAATAACAACAGATACTTCATCTACAGCAATTGGAGCAGTTCTCTCAAACAGATAATAATTTTACTCAACTTATAGCATTTTTTTCAAAAAAACTTTTGTCTTCGCAGATTAACTACTCCAAGTACGATAGAGAACTTCATGCAATATATTCAGCGATTAAATTTTTTTAACATTTTCTACATGGCCATAATTTTACGATTTTTAACGACCATAAACCTTTAATTACTTCATTTCATTTTAAAACTGACAAAACTTCTCGTCAGATACGTTATCTACATTACATTATTCAATTTACATCTGAGATACAATTTATTAAAGGATCTAATAACACAATCGCAGACATTTTTCCTAATGTCAAAAGTATGCAAGCAGCGCAAGAAAAAACAACAATCTTTAAAAACTACCAAATTTATTCTCTCTAAGGAAGAGACTTCATTTTCTAAATATCGAATTTAGTGTGAGATTTCTTCTTCCGTACCTAAAATTTACATTTCTGAAATATTTCGTAAAATAATTGTTGACGCTTTTCATACTACATCATGAATCCACACTGGTTGCGCGAAGTTTAACATCAAGGACGTTGGAGTCTTGATGTTTGGTGTGGCATCCTTAGAGACAGCATTATCGGACCATATTTTTTCAATCAACCACTAAATGGCAACGTGTTTCTGGATTTATTGGTCAATCAATTACCGATTTTGTTAGAAAATGGGTCATTGCAAACACGGCAAAATTTGTTCTTACTACTATCAACAAGTGATGCCATTGCTGATCTTACAACAAAAGTGAAAAATAGTTTTGAGAAATCAAGGCGTTACCTAGCTGTTTTTTTTGGATCTAGCCAAAGCCTTTGACACGGTTGACCACAGATTCTTGTTGCGTAGACTCGGGGTAAACTATGGGGTAAGAGGTATACCTGGGAAATTGATGTGGGACTATCCGCACGAGAGGTCTCAATGTGTGACGATTGGTCAAAGTCTGTTCGGAACAAACCCTAGCTAAAATCAGGAAGGATACCACTATTAGCTTGCAAATACGGTAGGATTTGTAATCGAAGAAAAGCTCTTTTCAACGTTAGCAAGCTTATTAAATTACATTCAGTCATTTTGAAATTATTGGCATTTGTTTACGAATTTAAATTTTATAATTTTTCTTATTTTTTATTTTTTAAATTATTTTCGAATTTATTCTGCAAAGTGTTTTAACAAAAAAAACTATAATTTATCTAATCTTTTAAAGGCATATACTTTTTTGTTATATTAATATAGCGGAATTCCGAGAAAAACTACATTTTTTAATCGGCGGTTGCAGTCCCTAGCGGTCTTCGGTATTCTCAGCTTAGAAACGTGAAAATAATTTCCAGGATTTTCTCTTAGCCACTTTAGTCATTAAATTTTTTACCGCAAGTCTCTACAATTAGTAGTTTCCGAGATACAGTACTTTGTACGGTTATTTGTCCATCCTGTACAATAGCGAATGTATCAATTATTTAAAGATGTCATACTCTTAGAATTAGGATACAAAGGCTAAAGTGGGCCGGAAATGGGGTGAAAATGTACAACTACAGAGAAGGAGACCATGGATCTTGTCAGTGACTCACGGAATCTTCTGGGCCTTGGGGGTTGCAGGAGAGCATCACCGGACAGGGGGGGTTACAGGTTAGGAGAGGATCCATTTTGGGCTGTAGAGCCATAGAAGAAGATTTTTCGATATTGTTATTCTCATAACAGTGATTAATACACGATTGTTTTTGGTGCTAATATGACAACGACATGTACACATATATCTTTCAGAATTAATTAACCTTCAATTCAATTAACAATGGTTGTTTATTTTGTGTATCAATCGACTGGAATTAATTTTATTTATGCGGTAATAAATATATGTGTTTACATTGCGACGTAATATATATTGTGTCCACGTTATGCATGTTGTTGGTGTTGTATGCAAATGTACAAATTAGATGTACCTATTTAGAATGCAAAAATTCTCCGCTATTTTATACCACTCCTCTCAAAATTTTCAAATAAATGTGTTGAATTAAAATAGAGACATGTTACTACCGTGTTTGAACTGTTACAATCTTTCTTTAAGTGCAGAGCTAAACAAAGAAGGTGACTTCTCATGTTAATTAACAACCTCATATTTATTGATGAGAAGATAAATAATTTACTCATAAATCCCACCATCTATTTTCACGATTCCATAAAACACATCTATATAAGCACGAGACATTGATGTTAGTTTTGCAAAATGTTTTTTACTAGTCTAATTGTTGTAACAATCGTTGCGTTCCTTTCGCTAACAGTGTGGTGGTATTTCATATTCTTTAAATACAAAAGATACTTGAAGCATTTTTGTGTTATACCGACTCAATTCCCGCCGTTGGGAATGACTTCTGCCGTACGAAATACTGTTGGTAAGAACGCAAAACTAACAGATCGTCTTTTTTATTTTCATTAATTCCATTTTAGATCTTTATAATAAAATGGAGTCATATGGAAAAGCAGGGGCTAAGAACGTTTTTGTCATGATAGGGCCAATTCCAAGCCTTTGTACATCAGATCCTAAACTAATCTCAATTATATTGAAATCTGCAAAGCATATCGACAAGCCATATTTGTTTCAATTCGCGCTAAAAAGATTTTTGGAAAATTCACTACTCATTGTAAACGGTATTTAACACTGTGCATAGAAATAGGATTAGTCAACCTAATCCTCTTTTATAGGCGACGAATGGCGTCAACAAAGAAAACTTCTAAACCCAGCTTTGGACTATGCGAACGTAATAGGGAACATTACCATTATTAATGAGTCATCGGACGATCTGGTTAAAGAGTTAAAGGAAGAAACAAATAATGAATCAACCGATGTTTCACACATTATGGACGATTGGATGTTGAAACTAACTTTCGGTTCGTATTTATTAGTAATTAATAGAAGTAATATTTTTTGTTTAATAATTTATTTAAACATATAGAATCATTGTTGGGTGATAGCGGAACTGAGTATATTAAAAAAGAAACGCAAGAAACGATCAAGTTATTAATGAAGTTTACAATCCAAAAAATTATTTCACCTTTAACCTATTTTACTGCAACGTATATATTCACAAGAATGTATTGGCAAGAAAGAAAAGCGCTAAAAACTCTTAAATGTCGCTTGCGTGAAATTATTAAAAGAAAGAAAGATGAATTTCACAGTGGTTTAGCTAGTAATAGAAAGCCGATATTTATTGATATTTTGATGAAATTGATGGTAACCAACAATATCACTGAAGAATTTATCGCAAACCAAATAAATCTGATGATTAGTGCTGTGAGGAACTGCTTATTATTGTGGAATCTAACATTTTCGATTCACTGCTCTAAATTGCTCCACAATGTACTAAGAGCGTTCTTCATATCTTTATCTCATTTTGCTAATTACTCTGAGATTTACATGTTCGAGTGTTTCGAGTTCCATCAAATCTCTGCTCTAAATTTGATAAGTCGAAAATGTTATTGCCTGTTTCACAATAATTTCGTACTATTAGTATTTTAATATTTGTTTTACTTCAGGCCTTTGATACGACCGCAACAACTTTAGCGTTTCTGCTCTACAATTTATCTAGATTCCCGGAAGTTCAAGTATTTATTGTAAATTTATTTAAGTATTATTTCATATTAAATATGTTTTTAGCAAAAGGCATTTGAGGAAGTTTACTCAATTCTAGGCGAAGATATCGATCAATCAATAACAAATCAACAAGTTAATGAGATGAAATACTTAGATTTAGTAATTCAAGAATCAATGAGATTAACTACAACTGTCCCTGTATTTGGACGAACACTTAATGAAGATGTCGATTACGAAGGAAATATTCTCCCTAAAGGCTTAACGGTTTTCATGGTTCCTTTTGTGATGCATAACCATCCAGATTTATATCCAGAACCTGAAAATTTTATTCCCGAAAGGTTCTTACCCGAAAACTTAAACCCCAACAGATACAGTTACACTCCTTTTAATGCCGGCATTCGAAATTGCATTGGTAAGAACAACTTAATTGATATTTTTAAGTAACTTTTATTGATTTTGAACCGATTTTTAATGTTGTAGGAAAGAAGTTTGCAATACTCTCGCTTAAAATTGCTCTCTCAAAATTGTTGTTGAATTATGAGTTTGTTAATGTTCACCATAAGCTGTGCTTCAGTATCGAGATGATGTTGCGATCAAAAACTGGAATCCGAGTAGGAATACGAAAAAGGAATTATTGAAAATGACGTAAAATAAAATATTGTATAAAGTTGAATTTATTTATGCGAGTCACTTGTGTTTAATTATGGGGATGCTCTTTACCACTCTTGCATCGATGCCGCGAATAGATCTCGTATTGAGCGGGTGCAGAATTCTTGTCTTCGCTTTATCTTTGGTGTCAGAGGACATGAGAGAATTTCTCATACACTCAGATAGGTCAATAAATGTTAGGCACCTTTACACGTTAACAATATTGAAGCACCGGCTTGAACTATTTAAGCCAGCCTTTTCCTAGTGTGTGCCTAACATTTATAACAATATCCCATTTTCTATAAAGCTGGAGAATGTGCGTGGGGCTTCAGTAACAAATTAAAGATTGAACAGCGAAGGTAGTTTTTTTTACCGTACTTTGAGCCTTTTTGATATTCACGCTCCAGTCAGAACCTTTAAGGTACGCAGAACTCCAATACCTTTGATAACCGACACTATAAAAGAAATGCAGAAAACTCGTGATAAGGCTTATAAAAGATTTAGTTACGAGGAATTATGTAAAAGGTGCTATAATGTTTTTTTTTCTTCTTGGCTTGTAAATGACTAGGACAAGACCAAAGGTTTGCCATTTGAATGCTCGATCATTGGTTGCGGAGTTTCGGAAGTTTCAAGATTTAATTGAACAATTTAATTTCGATGTTATCGCGATCTCAGAGACTTGGTTATCTTCAGAAGTTGATTCACGGATAGTAGCACTTCACAATTGAGTTGAACTGTACGTGCGGAATAATATCGAAGGGATTTCACTACAAAGCATTGAGACTTAATTGAACAATTATGGATGAAAATAAAAATTAATAATCAAACCTTTGCTTTTGGCGTGGTCTATAGGGAGCCAAAAACTAAAATAAATGATTTTTAATTTCTTGAATACCGGTTCTGGCTGCCCTCAGGGGTCAATTGTTTCACCTTTGCTTTTTTCAGTTTATGTCAGCAGTTTACCAAATTGTTTACAGTATTGCGATTATCACTGTTGTGCGGATGATACGCAAATATATATGTCAGTTAGGGAGGAAGAGGTGGAGGACGTTGTTGTTAAAATTCAGCAAGATTTAAATTTGTTGGTCGAAAACTCTCGCCAACATGGTTTACATATCAATAACAGTAAAACTGTAAAACTTATTGTGTTTGGCCCTCAAAAGATTAGAAAACGAGTTAAAAATAAGATAGATATTGCGCTTGATGGTTCACGGCTGGAGTTGAAGGAGAAAGTCAAGAATTTAGGAGTAATTCTTGATGAGGCTCTAAGCTTCTGTGATCATATCAATGCATGTTTGAAAAAAACCTACATAAACATAAAATTAATATATAACATGAGACAATTCATTTCTCAAAAGTTAAAAACGCTGTTATGTGACTCGTTAATATTATCACATTTCAGTTATGCCGATGTCCTCTACTCTCCGTTCCTTACCTATCACTTGCGAAGTAGAATTGAGAGAGTTCAGAACTCCTGCATTCGTTTAATTTTTGGAATAAAGCGACGAGAACACCTATCTCATAAACTGCTTGATTTAAATTGGCTCAATATGTGGAACCGACGTACAGTCCACACTGCTGTACTTTTCTATAAGATCAGCAATTTCAGCTGGGATTCCTCCTTATCTGCTTAATAAAATACGTACTAGATCCGATGTGCACTCTATTAATTAACGTTCGATTCAGAGGCGCTCTCTCCACGGCACTTCATGGAACTGAGAAATTTAAATGCAGTTATTCATACCAAATGTTCAAAATTTATAATGGATACATATTAAATGCACAGGGGTGCACATCGGTTCGAGCTTTCAAAGCGTCTTTAAGGAATACACTGTTTCAAGAACAAAATCATTGAGCTCCGTTTTTCACTCTTTTTCTCTGTCAGCCGTGGTCGAGCGAGTTACTGGATTTATTATGATTCCTTTTTTTTTTCCTTTTCTTTTCTCATCTCATTGTTTTGTCCCAGCCATACCTGCCAGTCATATCCAGTAGTCATGTTTTGTTTTATTATTATTTTGTTTATTATTGTTTATTTTTTATGGGGGTATGGAAGACCAGGTAATGAGCTAAATACCTACCATTTTGTTTTCTCACTCGATCTTATATACTTTCGTCTTAGGGTGTGTTTACGTTGGAGCTGCGATAAACGATAATAGCAACGATACTACCAAAACAACGAAATTGTTGTCATAGTTTTATATGCAGGTGTTTATATTGGAACGAGAGCTACGATAAACGATAAGAACAACAATGAGAGCAGCGATAAGAGCTGCGCAAAATGATTTGAAAACGATTTGTCAGAACAAATCTGTTGTGGTAATTTTTATCTTTTTGGTCCCACAAGGGGATCTAACAAAAATTTCACTAATTAAACAGTCGATATCGATGCCGACCACACCTTATAATAGCAAAGAAAATAGGGAATACAATTAGCGTCGCTCTTATCGTTAGTCGGCTGTCAAGCGTGTAACAACGCGTCGCTCCAATATAAACACTTGCATATAAAACTATGACAACAATGTCGTTGTTTTGCTAGTATCGTTTATCGCAGCTCCAACGTAAACGCACCCTTCCACATATATGTATATGTCTTTTCTTTTTGCTGTAACATAATAAGAGTGAGGAACAATAAAAAATTTATTATTATTATTATTGTAAAGAGAGAAAGGCGGCGGGGGTTGATTACTGGATACAATCCCAAACAAATCCTTGGGGTGGGTTGAAACAATGTGGAGTTATATCCCGTGTAACTAGCAGCATTCCTGAGCATCTAGCTGATGGGAATCAAATCAATAAGTATTTCGTAAGCGTAATGTCCTCGAGTGTACCCTTTGACATTGATTTATATGATTTTTATATAAACAATGTTATTACAAAAAAATCATTTAATTTTGAATTAGTTACTGATTTGGACATAGAAGGGGTGCTGCAGGATTCGTTGGGTTAAATATTAAAATGATCAATTATTGTTCTCCACACATAATTCCTCAAATAAAAGATATTGTCAATTCCAAAAAAAAAGTCAAAGGTGATTCCATTGCCAAAAACAATCCTGATTCCATTTTGAATCCTGAACCCTGTAAAATTGAATTGTCCAAGGTGTTGGAGACGATTATGTGTGAATAATTAAGAGTATTTGTCTATAGAAATTAATTATTACCTAAGGTGCAATCTGGCTTCATGTCGGGTCATAGCTGAACCGCCGCATTGTTGAACATTGTGGATGACGTTCTGAAGTCATGTGATAACGGAAAGGTAACTGTGCTGTGCTTGCTTGACTATTCTAAAACCTGCGATAGAATGAGTCACAAAATGTTGTATTCAATATTAAACCATATAACGTTGGATCAACAAGAAATAAGTCTCCTGATAAATTATCAGACAGGGAATAACAGGTAACAATAAATGAGTCGGATGCCTGCATTATATAAAAAAGTATAGTGTACCATGCTGTGCACACGACATGTAATAACAAAATCGTGTTGCTATACAAAATTATTATTTATTATTAGCAATCATTTCATTCATTCAAATTTATTTATCAATATCAACGTTATTTCTATCCGGTTCATTTATTTATTAATACAATAACTACTATGTACTATAAAACATTTTAATTTATTATATTGTGGATAAGATACCACAAATAGATATTATCTTACCACAATTATACTTTATTCGTGACCCAGAGAGTCTTAGGCTTAAAAGCTGCTAGGGCATTTAGTACAGTTTCTAATAAGGCTTTTGGTGTTTTATCAGGGCTTTTACCAGCAGATTTAAGATTTAAAGAAATTGGCAAAATTTAGGTAATCTAAATGATCAGGATGATCTACGAATTATTACTGGAGTAGATCTAAACCAAGATAGAATAGAAAAAGAGGCTAAATTTCTAACGGAAATACACCCTGCGGAACGGGATATTATGGATTTCAAAATTAGGAAAACTAATGTTTTGTATAGAGAAATTCAAATTTTTATAGATAGTGCTAAGAATAAGGATGTTGGTGCTGCTTTTCTTGTGTTTTGTGATAGTGTTGAAATTTATTTTGAAAACATTAAATTAGGTGTGTTGTGTGATAATTATCATGCTGAATTAATGGTGCAGTTAAATATGTTATTAAAGAAAAGATAGGAAAGTGTGAAGCTATATACTTCACACTTTCCTATCTGGTAGTGTTTCAGTTTGGAAAGGCCATAACAATATGAGAAGACCATCTATTTTACAAAGGAATACTTGGAATTTGATTAAAGAGACAGCTAACAGTATAGATTTCTTTTGGATTAATGGTCACACTTTAATCAAGGGCATTGAAAAAGCAGATCAATTAGCTAAAGAGGCTTCAATCAGCGAGGATTTACATATTGATTTTAATGTAATTTCTAAAAGATCTGTGAAAAATAAGATCAAGAAATTTATGTTTGTAAGAATGGCAAGATAGATGGCATAACTCAGTGACTGGAAGATTCACATATCAGATTATATATCAGATATATATATCAGATATATATCAGGTTATACCGGAAGTCGCCACCAACTTTATTTTTTTAAATGGAACACCCTGTATATTTTTACATATTTGGATTTGTTTGTTTTCAAGGTTTATAAATAACTTTACTTTTTGCAATTTGATTCGGTCGTTCACGAGTTATTCGCATTTTTCTAGAAAAATCTGCTCCAGCAGACATTTGTTCAAAAAATCAGAAAACACTCAATTTTTGGGATATCAATTTAGGATTGAGAACATGCTTAAGCAATATGATGGAGTATGTTTTGGTGCCGAGAACTGCGGTCTAGAACGTTTGATCACTTTACTATGGCACGTTAACTTTTCAAAATTTGGAAGTACCATAACTTCATTTTTTTAAATGGCACCCCCCATATTTTATTTTTTAGTCGTCTTCGGTGTCTCATTCTACATCTTTTATATCCCATATGGCCCATACCTAATATTAATAGTTTGGGAGATAATTAGGGTTTTTTGAAAAATGCACACATATCATATGGATATTTAGCCTAGTGTGCCATGAAAAACAAGCCTTCTCAATGAGTTCTTGTCAAAGACTCACTTGTTTACGTCACTTGATGCATGTGAGCTAATAATTATCTGTTATGTCCCTTAATATTAGTACTGAAACGAGTTAAAATCGATAACAATAACGAAAGTAATATTTACACAAATCAAGAAATTCTTAATTTATTTTTTTTGCATGAAAAGCGCGACAAAGTTCGTAGTATGATTCCCAGATCTTCTTTGGCAGCTCGAATTGAGGTGTTGGGACTGGGCTCGAAATAAGCCAAGGTATTCACCTCTTCCGTTGCATTATCTACTACATTTTTTGGTCAGTTTAACACGTGAT